AAAAAAAAAAAAAAAAAAGCAATGCCTAATTGTAAAGGAACTGCCGAGGCCTTCACCGGCCTACAACACCAACTATCTCAACTCTCCAAAGCCAACACAGAGCATTGTATCTACAAAGTACACAAGCATCTGCACAGCGTCAACGATAAAGCCTACGAGCCTAAAATCATCGCCGTCGGGCCTTACCATCACGGCAAAGACAGCCTGCAGATGATGGAAGAGCACAAGCTGAGGTACTTGGAACTCCTCCTCCACCGGAAGAAACAGAACGTCGAGCGCTACATCTCGGCCGTGGCGAAACTAGAAAAACGAGCCCGAAGCTGCTACGCGGAAGACATCGGCCTCGACGAGACCGAGTTCATCAAGATGCTCGTTCTCGACGGCTGCTTCATTATCGAACTGATTCGCAAATGCAATCGAAAGGATTCGTCCTGCAAAAACGACCCCATTTTCAAAATGGATTGGATCATGAACAGCTTATTAAGAGATCTCATCTTATTCGAAAACCAAATTCCTTTCTTCGTCTTGTGCGAGCTGTTCGACTTGATCGAGCACCCGAACCAGCACGACCGGTTGATATATCTTGTGTTGTTTTTCTGCCAGAGTCTCTACCCGGGAGCTGTGCATACAGACCCGTCGAGTCGAAAACCAGAGGAAATTAAGCATTTGCTCGACTTGATACACGCCAACTGGCGCCCGTCTCTGGGTGAGAACGACGTTCGTGTCGACGTCGATGTGCAACCGGATATTGTTCGCACGAAGAGAAACTTGCGATTCATTCACTCGGCGAGCGAGCTCTCGGATGCTAACGTGCAGTTTGAGGTGCAAACATCGAATAGCTTGTTCGATTTGGACTTCAAAAACGGTGTCATGTTTATGCCGACACTGACCGTCGAGGATCGGACCGAATGCTTTTTCAGGAACCTTATTGCGTACGAGCAGTATTTTCCGGACGAACGGCTGAATTTCGTGACGGATTATGTGAGGCTGTTGGATTGCCTGATTAATTCGACAAAGGACGTCGAGATTCTCTCGGAATGTGGGATTGTCGACAACTGGTTGGGGGATAATCAAGTGGTTGCCGATATCTTTAACAAACTCACGGACTCTATCGTTGGCCCCGGCAAACATTTTATGTATTCGGGGATTGTTCATCGCGTTAACCAACATTACGAAAGGCCTTGGAACCGAGCGGTGGCCGTTTTGAGGCAAGATTACTTCAGTAATCCTTGGGCGATTATTGGTTTTTTAGCTGCTCTTCTTTTGTTTTTGCTCACGATAGTTCAAACTGTGCTTTCGGTGGTACAGACGGTTTAGGCGCTTGTGTTAATGGGCAATGCAGATTGAAGGCTTTGTGAGTTTTCATTTTGTGTGATATTTCAACTTCTGTTGGTGTTGATTGATGCTTTGTGTACAATTTATTGCTGAGTGATTTGTGTTTTCTGCATGAATGACAAATTAATCTCGTTGAGAATAATTTGGTTGGCCTTTTTTTTATGCACTGCACAGTACATTATCTCACGAGTAGCACTAGTGGACCGAATTGAACCGAATCGAGCTTGGGCTGTTCGAGCTCCTGTTCGTTTACGTTCGTTCGTGTTCGTTCGTGTTCGTTCGTTTATTTTTCGAGCAAAAAATCTTGTTCGAGCTCGTTCGTTTAATTGTTCATCAAAGTTTGAGTTTATTCGTGTTCGAATAATTTAATACATAAATTTTTTTAATATGTTTGATTAGCTCGAAATTTGTTCGTTCGAACTCGTCCGAACTCGAAAATAAAAGAATAAAATAAAATATTTTTATATTTCAGATTTTTTATTAAAAATATTATGTATATATATAAAAAATAAATAAAATTATATTAAATTTTAGATAGCAAGTATATAAAAAAAATATATATAATTATATTAAATTAATGTTTGCGAACATAATCGAACGTTCACGAACGAGCTCGTGTTCGTTCGATTATTAAACGAGCTCAACTTTCTGTTTGAACTCGGCTTGATTAACAAACGAACGAGCTTTTGTCGAACACGAACAAGCTCGAACGAGCTTTTGTTCGCGAACGTTCGGTTTGTTTACAGCTCTAAGCACCACTGCAGAAGAAGGATTTCACATCGGTGACCATATGGGTGCTTCATTACTCTGTAGTCCACTACACAATTTGTTAACGAATCATATATGAAACAATTTCAGGTCTTTGAGATGTGTAGACATCGAAATTTTAATTTTTTATTAACTAGGGTCTTTATTGATTTGTGGATATAAATCTAAGATAAATTAGATATTTAATTAATAAAGTAAATATTTCGCAAATGACCTCTTGGCCCACTGGTTAAGAGTGAGGTACCCATGACATGAGGTCATGGGTTCAAGCCCCCCGGAGCACAAATGGTGGAACAATTAGTACTGAGGGCTACAAGGGGCAGCGTGGGAGGCTGAAACTCTGTAGGAACCAGCAACTGGATAGGTGGGGCCAGCATGAA